ATAATAATTTTTTACATAGTGTTTTTCTCCATAATTAATGCTATGTAAGTAACCTAACTTTACTATTAAACTCCACACCAAATCAGAATGCATAGAAAAAAGACTGGTATATGTACATTCATATTATTGATTACAATAATATCTTCCTGCAAAATACTTACATAATTGGCTCCAAGCAAAACTTATAAAATTATCATTTAAGTCAATACGAAGTTATAAATAAATCATTGTATGGAAATAACATGAACATATTTTATGATTTTTATCATATAGATTAAGGATCAACGAACTTGTTTTGTAAAGGATTAGATACTTATTATTTTGGGGCTTGCAGACCACATACAATCTCAGTCACGTAGTCAGTTAAAACATGTAAAGGGGCTTCCCTGGTGGCGCAGTGGTTGAGAGTCTGCCTGCTAATGCAGGGGACACAGGTCCGAGCCCTGGTCTGGGAGGATCGCACATGCCGCGGAGCAACTAGGCCCGTGAGCCACAACTACTGAGCCTGCGTGTCTGGAGCCTGTGCTCCACAATGAGGCCACGACAGTGAGTGGCCCACGCACTGTGATGAAGGGTGGCCCCGCTTGCCACAACTAGAGATAGCCCTCGCACAGAAACGAAGACCCAACACAGCAAAAATAAATAAAGTAAATTAATAAACTCCTACCCCCAACGTCAAAAAAAAAAAAAAAAGCCATGTAAAAACATTCTTGTCTTGAGGTCTGTACATAAACAGATGGATTTGGCCCACAGGCCATACCTTACTGATCCTTGTTATAGATCACTAATAACCATCATAAAACCATAAAATGGCTAGCAGAGTTATTTTAAAAGTTCAGATCTTTTATTTTTATAATGACCAGAATAGGTCCTCCCCCCGCAAAAAAGTTCTGTTTCTCTTCGGTATCACCCATATGGATGCCAAGGGTGCACGTCAGGACTCAGTTCTCATCAATATGAAGGAGAGCGGCTTTCCCTTTTCTACCCCCTCCTGACTACTCACTCAAACCCACTTACTCCTCAAGTATGAGGTCCTTATTATAGTTACCTTAAAGTTAAACTCAGCCACCCAGAAATGATTATGCTCTTGACAATGCTTATATCAATATACTAATCATAAGAATACAGAATAAGTCCTTCAAAATGGGCTGTGTCTTGTAAAACATGCAGAATGTCTTTTTAAAGGTAAGATAAAGAGCTATCCTAAAAAAAAGGCCTATGTTTTCCCTTTCTGGAATTTCTTCTTTCCATCCCTGAAAATGCAATTCAGACCAGCCACCAGTATATAGACACATTTGTATGAAGACGATGTGGATACTTTCAAGATAAAACAGTTCTGTTAATGTCATTGCATGCCATTTGAGTACATATTCATATATATATATATATATATATATATATATATATATATAT